CCACTTGGTATGTTCTCCGTACTACTTGATGCGGCCAAAGAGGCTGATAGCAAAGATATAGGCTCTGTTTTAAGAGAGTTGAGTCGCCTCAAAAGAAGGAAAGAAGGCATTGAAGATTTCAAGAAACAACTCATAAAAATAGTTAATAAAATAAGGAATGGCCAAAACATTTATATTATGGTAGACGATTTAGATATGTGCCGCCCTAAGTTCATTGTAGATTTTTTAGAATCCATAAAGTATATACTTAATATAGAAGGATTTGTTTTCATTATCTCTGTCAATAGAGATAAAAATAATGTGCAAAAAGCTATCAACACAATACTAGGATCAAACTTTGAACTAAAGCATTTTACGGATTTATCTTTATCCTTGTCGAAACAATCAATAGAAGTATTCACCAGAGAATTATTGAATGACGTAAAATTAACCAAGAAATCAAAGGATTTAGTGATAGATAGCTTTATATTTTACGCAAAAAGTCTATCATTATCATTAAAAGTAATTGAATACTGCATAAAAAAAATAAAATTCAGTTGCGGTAAAGAGGAATTACCGCAGCCAAATTTGTTTTCATTTTTGGTGATACTACAATCTATCAATAATAGTTTATATGAGGATTTGCAAAAAGAGACTCTAGAAAAAATTGAAAGTGCATATAAGCCAGCAATGTTAAATTATCCAAATGGTCAAAAAGAATGGGAAAAACTTAAAATTTCTCTAGAAGCTGCTTTAAAAGAAAAGGAGTTAAAAACTATCAAGCAAATAAAGAATATGTTATTTTAGCTAAGCTAGATCTCTTGCAAAACCCATTAGCAGTATAAAATTTCATTATACAGAATTATGAAATCAAAAACTTCAAGATGAAAAGCAACTCCGGAAGTACGTCAAGCTCAGAAGCAAGGGTTAGAAGATGCAATGAACTTAAGTGGATACTTTAGTTTCTCTATACATAAATTTATCATTGAATTAATATATAATTAAGATTTTACACTCCCTAATCGTCCCCCCCTAATGTCTGGCGATGCGTTTACTTGAGTACTAGGTTCATCAAATTTAAATGCTTTATAGGCAATAGTGCCAGTTATTAGTGCACTTGTTGCAACTGCCAAAGCCATTATTGTTATAGTGATTGGATCAATAGCAATACTACTTGTTATAATAGGCGATACTATTATCCAAGTTGTAAATGCTGCAGTTACGCAACCAACAAAAATACCTATTGCAATTGGTTTAAAAAATTGTATTGCTTCTGCCTTTTGTAAAAACTGCTCTATAGTATCGTGACCATTATTCTTAGCTAAGTCTCTTGCAGTTTGACTATCCTCATTCCACAAAAAAGTATTTGCTTTGTAATCATATAGAGTTTTTACTACCTCTATATGACCATTTTCAGCAGCCAAGTGTAAAGGAGTTCTTCCAGTTTTATCTGCATCATTAACTTCGACATTTCTACCGTTTTTTAATATAACCTTTACTACATTTACGTAACCATTTTCAGCAGCTAAATGCAGAGCTGTTTTGCGGTTGCTATATATAGTAAAATCAGCAAATGCACCTTTTTTTAATAGAGCATATACTATATTTTCATGACCATTTTCAGCAGCTAGATGTAAAGGAGTTGCCCCATTATAACATATATCCCAAGCATCTGCACCTTTTTCTAATAAAGCATTTACTGCATCTTCATTACCATTCCTAATAGCCAAATATAAAGGAGTGTTTTGATCTTTATCTTTAACATAAACATTTGCACCTTTTTTTAGAAGAGCATTTATTGCATTTACATCACCTTGCTCAGCAGCATAATGCAAAGGGGTTCTTCCATCCCAATCTTTAGCATTAACACCTATACCTTTTTCTAGAAGAGCATTTATCGCATTTACATCACCTTTCGCAGCAGCATAATGTAAAGGAGTTTTTCCATTCCAATCTCTAGCATCAAGATTTGCACCTTTTTTTACTAGAGCATTTATTGCATTTATATTACCTTTACTAACAGCATAACGTAAAGGAGTTTTTCCATCCCAGTTTTTAGCGTCAAGATTTGCACCTTTTTCTACTAGAGCATTTATTGCATTCACATTACCTTCCACAGCAGCCAAATGTAAAGGTGTGTTTCTATACCAATCTTTAGCATTAACATCTGTACCTTTTTCTAAAAGAGCATTTATTACATTTACATCACCTTGCATAGCAGCCCAATGCAAAGGAGTTTTTCCATCGCAATCTTGAATGTAAACACTTGCATGTGCTTTGATTAGAGCATTTACTCTCTCTGCATTACCTTGCACAACAGCCAAGTGTAAAGGAGTATTGCCATTTTTATTTTGAGCATTAACATCTATATCTTCAGCTGCTAATAAAGCATTTACTCTCTCTGCATTACCTTGCACAACAGCCAAGTGTAAAGGGGTATTGCCATTTTTATTTTGAGCATTAACATCTGCACCTTTTTCTAGAAGAGCATTTATTGCATCTACATCACCTTCTGCAACAGCATAATGTAAAAGAGTTTCTTTATATTTATTTTCAGCATGAACATCTGCACCTTTTTCCACCAGAGCATTTACTATCTCTGCATTACCTTGCGCAACAGCCAATTGTAAAGCCGTTTTCCCATCCCAATCTTGAGTGTTAACCTCTATATCTTCAGCTGCTAACAAAGCATTTACTATCTCTGCATTACCTTGCACAACAGCCCAATGTAAAGGAGTATTGCCATTTTTATTTTGAGCATTAACCTGTATATGTTCAGCTTGTACTAGAGCATTTACTATCTCTGCATTATCTTCTACAACAGCAAAGTGTAAAGGAGTATTGCCATTTTTATTTTGAGCATTAACATCTGCACCTTTTTCCACCAGAGCATTTACTATCTCTGCATTACCTTGCACAACAACCCAATGTA